TTTCGTCTTTTTAAATAAGATCAATAGTAATTTCCACTTACGCCATTGAGTGTCTCAAACTCGAGATTTATTTATAATATTGTTAATTTAATATTGTTCAGTGCATTGCACGGGGTGTACACTAGTACCTAAAATCAAACCCAGTAATGGAATTTCCCTAATTTTATTATTCAATAATTAATAAGTTAAAATAAATTTTGATTTAAAAGATTAAGCAAAATGTATTGTAGTATTGGAGTTTCTAATTTTCAATTAATAATAATGAAATATAGAAGTTAAAATTAATACATCCGTAATCTAAATTAATGATATATCTTCTCTTTCATCATTACTGCAACAATTAAATGGTATGCTATTAAACAGGCATATTTAATTTCAACTTTTGCTTCTTTTGAAACTAGTACGTAGCCCGTGCGATGCACGGGACAAAGTTATAAATGCGCCATTTTCATAGAGTGAGTCATTTTTATATAGTATGTCCGTTAAGTAGCTCGTACGATGCACGGAACAGAGATATTAAATAAGTCATTTTCATGGAGCTTGTTCATTAAAGCCTAAAAATAATAGAGTTTGAACATCTCTTTTCCACCTCATTTCGTCAGTGTCATTTTTTTGTCGGGAAGCTAAACTTGAGCCTTTTAGCTCTAGCTAGCCCGTAAATTAATTAATATAATTATCTTCTAGGTACAAGCTTGGCTACAGAGGACTTGGACCACTAACACGTTTATTGTAATATAAATTTGATTTTCAGTATATATATTTATTTTTTGATATTTAAAAAAAATAACAATTTTATTTATTCTTGTTCCTCGTATAATACTCAATTTATGTTATTCTAAAACGTGTTGTAATATAATGTCATTATTATTATTTATGAAAGTATAGATGTAGTCTTCTTCTTCTTTTTATTTTATGTAATGAAAATATCTAGTGTACGTTAATATTATTTATTAATGTAATTACTTTAAGTTATCTAAATAAATTTAAAATAAAATATTGTGTACAAATATTTTATAAAATATTTTTATAATAATTAAACAACATAAGACTTTATAGTTTATTCAACATATTATGCAATATATTTTAAAAGAATTTCACTATGGAGAGAAATCAAAATAAAAAAAAAAATGATAAAAAATAATCATGGTTAATAATAATATACAAATAAATCACTTGTTGAAATTCTAAAGAATAGTTAATATATTTCAATTTTATCATGTGGCCATCAATAAAATTAGTTAATGTATTTATTAATGATATCCTAAATGGTAAGTTATATTAATTTAAAATATTTTGTTTTTATAAATTCAATGAAATAAAGATCAAGAAAAAAAAGACAATTGAAAATATTTGCCAAACAAAACAATTGAATAAGGGCAATCAAAACATGATAGCTGCTAGATTTAGTGGTAGAAAAAAAGATTAAAAAATTAATTATTTTATATTTTGATTATTAAATTAATCGTAATTTATTTTTATTAAAAATAATAACCGCCATCTAAAACAATTTTACTATCCGATTTGATGTTAAAAAAGTTACCGATTTTTATAGGTTTTTATTATTAAATAAATCATAATTTCTTTTTATCAAAAAAAAAAATAGATGAAAATAAAAAAGTAAATATTTATTATTAAATCAGCCATATTTTTTTATCCAAAAAAAAAATAAAGTAAAATAAAACTGATAATGTTTTTGTGATAATTTTTTTATCATCCATAATTTTTTTTATCCAAAAGTAAGTCTATCTTGTCCAACTAAAAAATTAATAAACTTTCCACTTCTTAAGGCCAACCTTTCTCTCTCATCCGTTTTTTAATTAAAAAAAAGAAGTTGCTATTAATAGCATGTAATAAATGCTTATTGAGTTTGACCAGAGTATGACTTGCCATTTTTAAAAAATGGTAATTCTTTTTATATATATATAGATTCAATCAAAATATTAGTATAATTTTGACAATAAAAGACACGTATTTTTCGACTATTACAATTAGAAGTACACACTTAACAAAGTACTATCGAAGGCTTGGGGTGTGCTTGTTTATGAAATATTTCATTGAAAATGTGTTATTTTAGTTAACTAGAGTTAATTCTAAAAAATATGGTATGATTGGTTGTTGGTGAGATTTTAATAATATATTAAAATAATACTACACATTGTTTTCAAATTAAACTGTGTTTGTCCGATTGGATAGACCGAGAACCGGTTTATAATCAGTCTAGTTCGCTTGAATAAAATATTTGCTATTGAATCTGTCAAAACTAGTCGGTTGAACTTGTAGGATCGATACGATTTTCCAAATATATTTTGCTACATTTAAAATTATTTTAAATAAAATTACATATTTAAATAAAATAGAAATTTATTTATTATTTATCAATTAGTTTAAATATTTGAATTTTTAAATTATTTAGATATTTAAGTAATACATTTTATTTGAATTTATTACAAAAAGTACTAATATGATTTCTTTCACTATCTACTATATTCATATGATCCTAACTAACTATATATAAATATTAAATCATATTTCCAAAATAAAAATTTAAGTGTATGTTTTTTATAAATTAAATTGTATTATTAGTTTGTATGATTATATTAAAGCGTATTTATAAATTAAATTGTATGATTTTTAAGGAAAAAGAAAAAAATAAAACTACTATTTATGGCTGCATTAAATGTTGACCTATGTTTTTACTATTATTTTTGGTAAATATGTTCTCTCTTTATATATATATATATAGATATATCTTTAAAATATTATGATTAAAATTGATTTGATGTAATAATAGGAGATAAATGATTGAAAATGATAGACAATTAATATTACGTGAGTGGATGAATAATGAATTACTGTTGATGTGAAGTGTAAGAATGATTGATTTGTATGATTTAATAATATGAATAATATTAAGAATAATGGGGCGAATTAAAATTGCGTTGAATTTTAAGTATGAATTAACCGTGACTAAATTATTTTATAAACAAGCAAGCCCTTAGGGTGTGATTGAATATGAATTTTTTTAGTTTTTGTTAACTATAACTAATTTTAAAAAGGTGATATGGTGAGTTGTTAGTAAAAATTTAAATTTAAAATAAAATTTTATTTAAAATAAAATAATTAAATTTGATTTGATGTAAAAGTAGAAGAAAAAAAATATTGAAAGTGAGATTTAGTTAAAATTATACTAGTGGATAAATAGTGAATTAGAGTTAATGTGATGTGTGAGCATGACTGATTCATATTATGAAGTTATACTTATAACATTTATGAGTTGAATTAAATTTGAATTAAATTGAAGTTTTTTTTTTTTGTTCAAAATATAAAATGTAACAAAAATGAAACAAAAATGGATAATACTTTAATACATATATATTTTTTAATTTTTCTAATTTCCATGCAATTATGATATTGTGAAATTTATAAATTTAGGAGCTTTCTTGTTTTGGAGCTTTCCAACGCCTTGCCTTTCAAGTGACTGACACCTAACTCAAAAAATACCTTCACACCACCCCGCACCACCGTGCCCCTTCCCCCACCTCCCATCTCCGCCGCGCCACCACCACCGGCCCACCACCATTGTTTCCTCATCTTCATCTGCTAAAGGAAATCTCGGAAAAAAACCAAAACCCATTTGGCATATTTGTTCTTTTCTGCGCATTGAATCGGAAAATCGCTGTATTAGGCGGTGGTAAGTGTCGGAAGGCTGTTTTCCGAGATGCCGGAAAGTGTCTGCGCGCGTGTGTGTGTGTGTTTATTGTCTGCTAATTGATCTTGTCTGCATTCGATTTTGAGCTTTTCTCCCCCCTTTTATGTGTTTTATTCGCTGGTAACAAAAATTAATGGCGTCACTGATGAACAACTGGTGTTTGTCTGCTCGAGGGCTTTTCAAAGTTTGCTTCTTTTTCGGTTTTCTGAAAGCTATTTGCAATTTTTTCTCTACTTTTAAGTAATTTTTTCTATCTTTTTTTGGTTTTGTTGCTTTGATTCTGGGTTTTGTGTTCCGAGAAGGAGATTTTTCAGCTGTCTGTGAATTCTCTACGAAATGCTTTTTGTTATTAATGGTTTCTGTTGATAATGAAATTGGTAAAGTGACTCCTTGTGCAGGTTTTCAGCAATTAATTTAAGTTATAATTTGGAATTAAATCTGCAAATATTTCTATATATTTCATAAGTTTTTGTTGTGCTTTGATTAGTTCTGTTCATCTGGATATACAGTAATTGCTTGTTTGTAATGATTTAGTGTTTTTGTAATAGTATAGACATGGGATTTTTATAGCCATTACAATTAGCTGAGGTTTGTGATCATATAGGCCAGCATGACTGTGGATTCTCAAAGGAATTACTAAATTCGATAAAAATCGAAATGATATTTTGTTTTGTGTTGTCTATGAATGCTCACAACCCAGCTCAGAACAGTTTCTTGCAGTTTCTTGGGCAAGGCTTTCTTTCCGTTTATCGTTTTCTTACTATTCTTTTGGTAGGTTGTGAGAATGTCATATTCATGTTAACTTTTGAATGTTTCTGGTGGCCAATCCTTTTCTTTAATTCTTGATTGGCATGACTTCAATTATCTTGCATAGTTGCTCACCTTAAAAACTTGTTTACTTTTGTAATAATAATAATAAAAAAAAAATCCGAAATCGATAAATCAATTTCTTTTGAAAGAGATGCAGAATTCGACTACCCTTTTCGCAGTTATAAAATATCACGAACGATACTCTTGAATCTTAATACCCTCCTCAAGCTTGCTATCAAGACAAATTCTATTTATTAGTTTTCTTGAATTTGTATACCGTGTTTATCTAAATCCCAGTCAACTAGTTTGCTGCAGGTATAGGTTTAAACTTTACTGTATCTTTTAGTATATGTGTAACATGGCCAACATTGCAACTTGGAACTGTTTAGATGCCATTTGTTGTTCGGATGCTATTATTTCTGCTTTTGTTGTACTTTCTTTCTCACTTTCGTTCATAATCTGTGCAAACCAACAGGTTAAGATGGATAAGAGGAGTTGGCCTTGGAAGAAGAAGTTGTCTGATAAGCAAGGAGCTGATAAAGCAGCTGCCTTTACATCAGACTCTGTGGCAGCTGCTTCAGAACCGGATGCAGCTCTAACCGAAAAGGTCCGCGAATATTCGTAACTTTTAATCATTTATTTGTTTCCTTCTCACCCCTCCTTTGACATTGCAATATTCTCAACATCAAGATTAAGATAAAAGGATGAGAAATTTTTTCAGTTTAGCTTTTCGGACATATTAAAGTATATTTTTTTAGTTATTTCGGTATCTTTCTTCAAGTTTGTCGTATTTCTGTATTTTATGAACACGATTTCCTAAATCCTGAAACAGGAAAAGCAAGAAGCCAGTAAAAAGCCAAAGTATGTCCAAATCTCCATGGAATCATACACGCATCTAATCGGACTGCAAGATCAAGTCAAGTCGTACGAAGAGCAAGTCCAGAGCTTAGAGGATGAAGTAAAAGAGCTAAACGAAAAGCTGTCCTTAGCCAACACCGAAATGACTAACAAAGAAAATCTCGTCAAACAACACGCAAAGGTTGCCGAGGAAGCCGTCTCAGGTAATAAATAGAAACCTCAAAAAAGTGAATTAAAAAAACAAAAAGAAAACAAGACAGTTCACGTTTTTATTCATTTCCTTCATTCAGGTTGGGAAAAGGCAGAAGCTGAAGCCGCAGCTTTGAAAAACCACCTCGAGTCTGTCACGCTGCTGAAGCTCACTGCCGAGGACCGTGGGTCCCACCTGGACGGGGCCCTCAAGGAGTGCATGCGCCAAATACGCAATTTAAAAGAAGACCACGAACAGAAACTGCACGAACTAATCCTGAGCAAGCAGAAGCTTTTCGACAAGATGAAGCTCGACTTGGAATCCCGGATCGCTGGCCTGGACCGAGACCTGCTGAGGTCAGCCGCGGAAAACGCCGCGCTTTCCAGATCCCTGCAAGAACGCTCGAACACGCTCGTCCAGCTCAGCGAAGAAAAATCTCGAGCCGAAGCAGAGATTGAGATGCTCAAGAGGAAAATCGAGTCGTGGGAGAAGGAAGTGAGCTCGCTCAAATACGAGCTCCATGTTGCGCGGAAGGAGGTCGAGATCCGAAACGAAGAGAAGAACATGAGCGTTCGGTCTGCTGAGGTGGCGAACCGGCAGCACCTCGAGGGGGCGAAGAAGATCGCGAAGCTCGAGGTCGAGTGCCAGAGGCTGCGTGGGCTTGTGAGGAAGAAGTTGCCAGGCCCTGCTGCCCTTGCCCAGATGAAGCTCGAGGTTGAGAGTCTGGGCCGGAGGTCTCCAGTCAAACCTCCCAGCCCAAACTCGGCCCATTTTCCTGAGTTCTCGATCGACGGCTCACAAAGTTATCTCAAGGAGAATGAGCTTCTCACTGAACGTTTGCTTGCAAAGGAGGAAGAAATGAGGATGCTTAAGGAGGCACTTGCTAAGCGTAACAACGAGCTGCAGGCTTCTAGAAGCTTGTACGCCAAATTGGAAGCACAAGTTCAGGCGAGTGGCGAGCAGAAGAGTGAAAGGAATGTGGATAGTCCTAACAAGTCTGAAAATGCAAGTAAAAGTAATGATCTGGACCTGATGGATGATTTTGTGGAGATGGAGAAGTTGGCTTATTTGTCGAACGCGCAAGCGTCGAATGTGGATTTGGATAATAATACTGGCAAAAGTGGGCCCGAGCTTTTGAATAACGAAGCTCTGGTTAAGCTCTTTGTTGAACTGCAGTCGAAGATATCCACGGTACTCGACTCGATTTCTCGTGAAAAAGACAGGGAAAAAGTTGCAGAGGATATTAGCCGTGTCCTGCAAGATTTGCATGAAACTTCTCGCTCCAGAGATGGCAAATCGTATGCGGAAGATGTTGAAACCATCAGTCAAGAATTACAAACTGCCATCGGTCAAATTTACAACTTCGTAACAATTCTAGGGAAAGAAGCTAAGGCTACTGTCCCACGGACAATTCTTCTCGGAGAACTGAGCGAAAAACTCGACACTTTCACTGCCAAGTACAGTGAGGCCATATATAGCGACATTAATTCAAACGAATTCGTTCTTGACATATCTCGTGTGCTGAACAAGGCGAGTGAGCTCCATTTCAACGTATTGGGATTCAGAGGCTCTGAAGGGGAAAATGGTAGTTCGGACTGTGTAGACAAGATTGTGCTCCCAGAGAACAAACCCATTTTGAAATCTTTAGAAGAGCGATATTCTTCAAACAGCTGTGCTCGTTTTTCGGATTCAGCATCCGATGCCGATGTGCCGACCTCTGAGTCAACAGCTGCCCCATGTAAGTGGTCAATGGAGGAGTTTGAACAGTTGAAGACAGACAAGGATAACCTCGCGGATGAGCTTGCTCGATGCATGGAGAATTTTGAGAGTACGAGGTCTCAGTTGCTAGAAACAGAACGGGTTTTAGGTGAGGTGAGGTCTCAGTTGACTTTGGCTGAGAAGTCAAACAGTTTGGCCGAGACACAGCTCAAATGCATGGCCGAGTCATACGAATCACTTGAAAAACGGACGGATGAACTGAAGCGTGAAGTAAGTGAGCTTCAAGGGAAGATAGAAAGTTTGGAAGGTGAGCTACAAAAAGAGAAAAAATGTCACCAGGAGGCAGTGAAGAGATGTAAAGATCTTCAAGGGCAGCTTGAAAGGTTTTTATGTTAACTCTCTTTTCTCTTTGCAGTTGTCCCGATTGTACTTGATTTCTGAATTGTCTGGTTCAAATAGTCTTAAACCTGTTTGTTTTTAAACTTGAATCTTTTCCAGTCGTATAATACGATCATTATCAAATATGCTAACAAGTTGAGTTTGCTCCGTTTGATTAATCCTATCTCATTATTCTTATCAGGATTGATTATTCAGTAGCAGCTGATAATGATGACAAGATTAGCCAGGTGAGGCTTACATATTATCACCAGTTATTCATGCTCATCTTATTTGTGATCATTGGACCTTCATTCAGAATTTCTTGTATTTTCTTTTTCACTTTTCCTTTACTTTTTTTTTTCTCCTTTCCTGTTAAACTAATTACAAAGTCTCTGTAAAGCTAAAAACACTCAACTTTCTTTCTGTATGCAGGAGAAAGAGCTAGCAGCTGCAGCTGAAAAGCTTGCCGAATGTCAACAAACCATTTTACTTCTCGGAAAACAGCTTAAGGCCCTTTGTCCACAATCCGAGACCTTAACTCCTCCGAACAATGCAAGAAATGAAAATATCGACCCTTCTTTTCGGGAGGAACCAACTGTAAGTGGCACTGAAAACTTGGAAGAAACGAAATTATCTGAACCCGATACTTCCCATTTACATAGAGCTGGATCTGAGTCACCCATGAATCCATTCAACTCCACATACACTCAATCGAACTCCGAAGCTAACAACTTTCTGAGATCACCAATCAGCTCAAAGTACCCCAAACACCGCCCCACAAAATCGGGCTTGTTTTATGCGCCATCCACACTCACACCGGAAAAACATTCCCGTGGATTTACCAGATTCTTTTCCACCAAAGGGAAAAATTAGCCGTTTTAACGTGCTCCGATAAAAAAGAAGAAGAACAAAGTAAAAAAAAGAAAAAAAAGGATGAATTGGTTGAACTAGCTTGCCTTTATTATTATTACTATTATTATTATTATTATTATTATTATTATTATTATTATTATTATTATTATTATTATTATTATGTCTTATTAATGTAAATAGGCATGGTTTTCGACTTG